AGTGTGTGTGTGTGTGTGTGTGTGTGTGTGTGTATACTCACCTTATTGTACTCACCTAATTGTGCTTGCAGGGGTTGAGCTCTGGCTCTTTGGTCCCGCCTCTCAACTGTCAATCAACTGGTATACAGATCCCTGAGCCTACTGGGCTCTATCATATCTACATTTGAAATTGTCTATTGAGTTAGCCTCCACCATATCATTGCCTAAAGCATTCCATTTGTTAACTATTCTGACACTGAAAAAGTTCTTTCTAATATCTCTGTGCCTCATCTGGGTACTCAGTTTCCACCTGTGTCCCATTGTTCGTGTGCCCGCTGTGTTAAATTGTCTATATCTACCCTATTAATTCCTCTGAGAATTTTGTTTGTGGTGATCATGTCTCCCCTAACTTTTCTTTCTTCCTGCGACGTGATGTTTAATTCCCATAGTCTCTCCTCGTAGCTCGTACCCTTCAGCTCGGGTGCTAGTCAGGTGGCATACCTCTGAACCTTCTCCAACTTAGTATTGTACTTGACGAGATACGGACTCCATACAGAGATACGGACTCCATACAGAGATACGGACTCCATACAGAGATACGGACTCCATACAGAGATACGGACTCCATACAGAGATACGGACTCCATACAGAGATACGGACTCCATACAGAGATACGGACTCCATACAGAGATACGGATTTATACAGATATACGGACTCCATACAGAGATACGGACTCCATACAGAGATACGGACTCCATACAGAGATTCGGACTCCATACAGAGATACGGACTCCATACAGAGATACGGACTCCATACAGAGATACGGACTCCATACAGAGATACGGATTTATTCAGATATACGGACTCCATACAGAGATACGGACTCCATACAGAGATACGGACTCCATACAGAGATACGGACTCCATACAGAGATACGGACTCCATACAGAGATACGGACTCCATACAGAGATACGGACTCCATACAGAGATACGGACTCCATACAGAGATACGGACTCCATACAGAGATACGGACTCCATACAGAGATACGGACTCCATACAGAGATACGGACTCCATACAGAGATACGGACTCCATACAGAGATACGGATTTATACAGATATACGGACTCCATACAGAGATACGGACTCCATACAGAGATACGGACTCCATACAGAGATACGGACTCCATACAGAGATACGGACTCCATACAGAGATACGGATTTATACAGATATACGGACTCCATACAGAGATACGGACTCCATACAGAGATACGGACTCCATACAGATATACGGACTCCATACAGATATACGGACTCCATACAGAGATACGGACTCCATACAGAGATACGGACTCCATACAGATATACGGACTCCATACAGATATACGGACTCCATACAGAGATACGGACTCCATACAGAGATACGGACTCCATACAGAGATACGGACTCCATACAGATATACGGACTCCATACAGAGATACGGACTCCATACAGAGATACGGACTCCATACAGAGATACGGACTCCATACAGAGATACGGACTCCATACAGATATACGGACTCCATACAGAGATACGGACTCCATACAGATATACGGACTCCATACAGAGATACGGACTCCATACAGAGATACGGACTCCATACAGAGATACGGACTCCATACAGAGATACGGACTCCATACAGAGATACGGACTCTATACAGAGATACGGACTCCATACAGAGATACGGACTCCATACAGAGATACGGACTCCATACAGAGATACGGACTCCATACAGAGATACGGACTCCATACAGAGATACGGACTCCATACAGAGATACGGACTCCATACAGAGATACGGACTCTACTATGCATTTTTATTATATTAAAAAAAAATACATTACCAGGGCAAGGAATTTATTAAAAATAAAACAAATATATTGACGCTTCTTGACGGTAAATGCGCAGAATCACAGCTTTCATAATTCAGCAAATTTTGCATCGTGGTTCTTATTTAATACGAGCTCATTTAAATGCTAATGTAATTTGCATGAAGGTTGTACGGTTGTAGCTCAGTGCGGCTCGGAATGATTAAAGTTTAAAGTCACAACAACGATGAAAGGCCCCTGTTGCCTAGCAGTAAATAGGTACCTGGGAGTTAGACAGCTGTTACAGGCTGCTTCCTGGGTGTGTGTGTGTGTGTGTGCGTGAAAAAAATAGTAAGTTCCCGCTACGGCTAGAATGCCGTAGCGGGAATGATCACGCTGGCCACAGGGATCTACAACCTGCATCAATTCAACGCCAAATCAACGTTGATTCGACGTCGAACCAACGCCAACACTTTTTTTACATTGTGACCACTTGGAGCCGGGGTCGAGGTTCACCGCTTTTAAGGCCGGTGGTGAGCCTCTAACAGGAGTGGCAAGCACCACTGGTTGGCAAAGGACTCGCGCGATTGGATCACAGTGAGGCTGGCACTTGTCGACGACTCTGGGGGTCACAAAGTATTGTTGACAGAGGAGGTTTTAGCTGTGTGCAACCCTACGTCTTGCAAAGACTCAAGCAGTACTCATTGCAAAACAATAAATTTAGCAGAAACTCAAACATTTCTCTTGGCAGAGGACATGTGAAAGGCCCTCTAGCAGTATGGTATTGCTAAATGATATATATATATATATATATATATATATATATATATATATATATATATATATATATATATATATATATATATATATATATATATATATATATATCTGGGGTTCAACTCGTACTGTAAGGCAGAGGACGTCTTTGATGTATCTCACGGGATCAGTCAAGATTCTGATGAGTTAAGCTGTCGAGTATGACATAGAGGACCCAGTACAAAATTGGATTCACTCACACGTAATGGATATATATAGATATCCCATTTACCTGAAATGGAGACATTTCAGGTAATAAAGACAGAGGACATTCACCTGTGTCTGTCTCCCCCATGCCTCTTCCCCCCCCCAAAAAAAAAAATCCTGTTCGACGTAATCCTCAAATCATATATAAATTTGTTTTTTTCAATATACTATATTTTATTATCAATGAAAATAAGTTTAGAGAAAAATCTTAAATACGTATTTTAGGTCTGATAAACATATAATAAATACGGTTCAGTTTACACAAAGAATATATTGTTATTTGGTTTTTTTTTTTATTTTAGTGTTAAGAGTAACAACTTATTTATTTGGGAGAAAAGAAGAAATAATGTTATCATCTCAGTTGTTAGTTTATTGGTAAATGTGACCAGCAATACACATTAATAAACAAATTATGAACTTTTCTAATAATCCTTATAATGCTAATTTAAACCCGATCTATAATATATATTAATGAACTTAAAGTTTAAATAATCCGTATTAGGATTAAAACAATTTGTTATGATTAATAAAATATTAATAAATTTATATAACAATTACAAATGAATAAATTATTTGCCAAATTTGTTTGAAATAATAAATTGATTAATAAAACAAAATTAAAAAATTAAAACTAAATTAATAATTATCATTAAAAACTTTCAAAGATTAACATGGATGAAAAGATAAGACAAAATAAATGTTTAGTTAAATATCTAAAGGATTAACAGGAAAGAAAGAGTAATGTTAACATTTTAACTTTCGCAACACACACACACACACACACACACACACACACACACACACACACACACACACACACACACACACACACACACACACACACACACATTTGCTACGCAAATGTTAAACAATTTGCGACGAGGCTAGTCCCGGAGTTGCAAGGGATGGGATATGTAGAGCGACTGAAGAAACTTAACCTGACGACGTTAGAAAAAAGGAGGAAGCGGGGAGATATGATAGCAGCATACAAAATACTTATGGGGCTTGACAGAGTGGAAATAGACGAAATACGCACACGGAATATCAACAGAAAAAGGGACATGGGTGAAAGCTTGTGTGTGTTTGTGTGTGTGTGTGTGTGTGTGTGTGTGTGTGTGTGTGTGTGTGTGTGTGTGTGTGTGTGTGTGTGTGTGTGTGTGTGTGTGTGTGTGTATTCACCTAGCAGTCTCCGTGGTGTAGTGGTTAAGACGCTCACCTAGCGATGCGCAAGCGCTTTGTCCTGGGTTCGTATCCTGGCTAGAGAGTATTTACTGGGCGCAAATCCTTAACTGTAGCCTCTGTTTAACCCAACAGTAAAATGGGCACTTGGTTGTTAAACGGGTTTTTGCGGGGTCATATTCCAGGGAACATAGAATTAAGGACATGCCCGAAACGCTACGCGTACTAGTGACTGTACAAGACTGTAAGAACTCTTGTATATACATACATATATATTCACTTGTGGTTTATGCAAGTATATGCTTACATACATACATATATATATATATATATATATATATATATATATATATATATATATATATATATATATATATATATATATATATATATATATATATATATATAAATAGAGATGTAAGAAAGGGTTCTTGTAGCGTGGGAGTAGTGTGAGAGTAGTGGGGAAATGGAATGAACTAAATGAGCACATTGTGGAAGCAAACACTATTCCTAGCTTTAAAACTAGATAGCTAGATAAATAGCTAGAGAAGATAGCTAGATAGATAGCTAGAGAAGGACGGAGAGTCATTGCTTTAAGCAACCGAAGACTAGAAAGACGGGATCCAAGAGCCAGAGCTCAACTCCCGCAAGCACAACTAGGTGAGTAAATATCCTGGCAAATTCCCGAAATTTGAAGGGGCCTCGCGGCTGAGTGGTCAGCGCTTGGGGGTCGTAATCCTAAGGGCCCCAGGTTCAATTTCCTGTCGAAGGAGAAACAAATGGGCAGAGCTTCTTTCACCCTGATGCTCCTCTTCACCTAGCAGTAACCTGGGAATTATACACCTACTACAGGCTGCTTTCTCGGTGTGTGTGTGTGTCTGTGTGTATTAGAGAGATATGATTGGACCCAGCAATAGGAGGTAAAGTGTCGTAGTCCAGTAGTTCCAGCTCCCAGCGTAGTCATGTTGGGAGCACCCATGCTGGGAGCACCCATGCTGGGAGCACCCATGCTGGGAGCACCCATGCTGGGAGCACCCATGCTGGGAGCACCCATGCTGGGAGCCCCCATGCTGGGAGCACCCATGCTGGGAGCCCCCATGCTGGGAGCACCCATGCTGGGAGCAGCCCCATGCTGGGAGCACCCATGCTGGGAGCACCCATGCTGGGAGCACCCATGCTGGGAGCACCCATGCTGGGAGCACCCATGCTGGGAGCACCCATGCTGGGAGCACCCATGCTGGGAGCACCCATGCTGGGAGCACCCATGCTGGGAGCCCCCATGCTGGGAGCACCCATGCTGGGAGCCCCCATGCTGGGTGCACCCATGCTGGGAGCACCCATGCTGGGAGCCCCCATGCTGGGAGCACCCATGCTGGGAGCCCCCATGCTATGAGCACCCATGCTAGGAGCACCCATGCTGGGAGCACCCATGCTGGGAGCCCCCATGCTATGAGCACCCATGCTGGGAGCACCCATGCTGGGAGCACCCATGCTGGGGGCACCCATGCTGGGAGCACCCATGCTGGGAGCCCCCATGCTATGAGCACCCATGCTGGGAGCATCCATGCTGGGAGCACCCATGCTGGGAGCACCCATGCTGGGAGCCCCCATGCTGGGAGCACCCATGCTGGGAGCACCCATGCTGGGAGCACCCATGCTGGGAGCACCCATGCTGGGAGCACCCATGCTGGGAGCCCCCATACTGGGAGCACCCATGCTATGAGCACCCATGCTGGGAGCCCCCATGCTGGGAGCCCCCATGCTATGAGCACCCATGCTGGGAGCACCCATGCTGGGAGCACCCATGCTGGGAGCACCCATGCTGGGAGCACCCATGCTGGGTGCACCCATGCTGGGAGCACCCATGCTGGGAGCATCCATGCTGGGAGCACCCATGCTGGGAGCACCCATGCTGGGAGCACCCATGCTGGGAGCACCCATGCTGGGTGCACCCATGCTGGGAGCACCCATGCTGGGAGCACCCATGCTGGGAGCACCCATGCTGGGAGCACCCATGCTGGGAGCACCCATGCTGGGAGCACCCATGCTGGGAGCACCCATGCTGGGAGCCCCCATGCTGGGAGCACCCATGCTGGGAGCACCCATGCTGGGAGCACCCATGCTGGGTGCACCCATGCTGGGTGCACCCATGCTGGGAGCACCCATGCTGGGAGCACCCATGCTGGGAGCACCCATGCTGGGAGCCCCCATGCTGGGAGCCCCCATGCTGGGAGCACCCATGCTGATCAAATTTCCGCACATTTCTACAATTCATTCTCTCACACAGACACACACACACTCACCTACATTTGCCTAGGATCCATTTTTCAGTGCTGCCAGAGCTATGCTTTGACAAATGACGGCGTCTGTACATAACTTATCAAGTCCCTTTTTATTTCTGCATCCTCGAAAACCCAATTCTCAAAGTTCTTTCCTTGGCTACTTCTCCCACTCCGTTTCAAGTCTTCCTCCCACACCTCTCCCACCCTTCCTCCCACTGAACAATGAGAGGTAATTGGGATTCTGCCGATGACCGGCCATTTAGTCTTAGAGACAAATCGTTATTGAACTTGCTGGGCTCAGAGACAGAGGAGATATCCTGATTCATGGCAACGGGCTTCTTGGCAAGGGAATCCCGGGGTCAATCTCAGAACGCAGCTATTTCAGTAAGGCGTTATGGGGCGAATTCAAATGTACCTTTTTTTGGTACATTTGAATTCGATATGATTTTGAAATTGTATATTTTTGTTACTTGTATAGCAGGTTTGTACGTTGCTTGTACAGAGAGATTGGTAAATTAAATAGTTCCCCTCGTTGGCATACTCTTATGCTCATTGTGGTTCAGTCGGTTGTGTGCGTGTGTCAGGACCCCGGGTTCGATCCTATCTAATAATCCCAATATTTTCCCATTTGTGGATCTATTTTCACTAACTTCATACAAGGAAATGTGAGCATAATTGTACATGTTCATATTTGAAAGATTTTATGATCTCGTAGTATAATTGGCTTCGTTCTCGATTTACAATTCCCGGGCAAGACAGAAATGGTTGGACACTTTTTCTTTCCCCTAGTGATTCTGTTCACCTATTATTAAATAGGTACCTGGGAGTTCAACCCGTTCTCGCAAATTTAATAAGTCAATATTGACTTATTAAATATGTTCATAGGTGACATACTTAACATAATAGATACCCTTAAAAAGATTCATAGAAAACACCGACCTTACCTAACCTACTTAGTATGTTAAGATAAGCATCTTATTGCTTCGTAATTACAATTATTACCTAACCTATAATAGGTATAGGTTAAGTAATAATTGTAATTACGAAGCAATAAGATGCTTATCTTAAGATACTAACAAGGTTAGGTAAGGTCGGTGTTTTCTATGAATCTTTTTAAGGGTATCTATCATGTTTAGTATATCACCTATGCACGTAGTTAATAAGTCAATATTGACTTTACGAATTTGCGAGAACGGGTTGGGGAGTTAGTGTCAGGCTTGTGCCGACGGTTCCCCCCCTTCCCTATCCTATGGACGACCTACTGACCCCCCCCCCACAGAATGCAACCCCACAACAGTTGCCTAACTCCCTGGTACCTATTTACTGCTAGGTGAGCAGGTGCAGTAGGTGAAAGGAAACTTGCCCAATCATTTCTGTTCCGGGATCTCCGATTATGATTTGGGAACGAAGCCAACTGAACGTTTTGACCTCACAATAATTGGAAACCCAATATTTGTATTATTCTTTTATCCTACCTTTCACTAATCTCCTTTCGTTATTGATTTTGCTTCAGTTTCTCGTTACTGGAGACAGGAAGTTCGTTAGGTCGAGGAATCACCCCATTACCAACAGGCCAACGACTGACCTACAAACCTCACCCGTTACCAGAGTCGAGTTGCAGACGATGAGTCCCAATAACGTGGTTGAAGATATGATGACCAAACTACTCATCAAAAAAGTGGAGGAAGGAAGACCTTTCGGTCCGTCCTTGGACCATTATCAAGCTATCCTCGGCTTGATAATGATCCAGGAAAGACCGCAACGTCACCTTATCTCTATTTTTCTGGTGAGTGGTTTGGTCATAAGAGTCGAGTTACCTCCAGGGAGTTGTTGTTGTCTTTTTGCAATATTTAGTCGCTTGCAACCGTCTCAATTCTCCAAAGAAAATGCCATTAAGGAGTCATTAAAACTGGCTTGAAAACAGCTGGAATTGGTTTGATGACTGTGGGAATTGGCTTAATAATTAGGGTAATTTGCCTGATAACAGCGGAAAGTTGGTTTGATAACTGAGGGAATTTGGTTGATAGATGCGATTATTGACTTGATAACTGTAGTGATTGGCTTCATAACTGCGTTAATTGCGTATAAACTTTATCATGTTAGCGCAAAGCATTGACAGATAAACACAAAACATTGCTATATATGCACAAGACATTGTCATATAATCGCCAATCTTTGCCATATAACCGCAAAACATTGACATATATATATATATATATATATATATATATATATATATTGTGACGGTAACGCGTTGGTGTTCGGCTGTTTAAGGCTAGGGGTATGGCCTCGTCACATAGTTATAAAAAAAAATAGAAAAACTGGAACTTCGTCTGTGGTAAGGTAAGGAGAAGACACACAAAACACAAGTAAACTTTAACAATGAAATTTTAATTACGTTAAATAAATCAAAACATGAAAATAATGCACAAACAAATATGTATAATAAAATCAATGAATCAAAATAATAAGAATACTTAAATGACAAAATGAAAGTTACGTTAAGGCAAAATAACAAGAAGTGCAACAAAAGTTAAGTGGGAGGTGCTGGAATATTGGCTTAAAGCCACCACCTCTCTCAGTACACGCTAACGTCTAGCTGGGAGGAGTGCTGGCTACGAAAGCACGGAACATTCTGAGGACTGATGTTGGGGCGACCCCAGACATCAGGTAGTATTGGGGGCGAGTGCAGGTGCAGCCAGACCGGCGACCAATCAGCGGAGCCGTAGCGATCAACGGGTAGTTTGGTGATTTGGGTCCGAACAGGTGGCGGGCTGCATACGTTTCTGCTCACCCTGGCAAGCCTTGCTGGTGCTGGTGTTGTTGGCGTTGTTGGACATTTCTTCCATAGTCTTTTATATAGTTGTGAAGACGTAATTTTGGAGGGAAGAGCAGGCTCAATCTCTTGTAGGAGATTATCGTCACAACTCTCCCCCGAAGCCTGCGGTTCTGGAAGAAGTACGTCGTTATGTGGTGGAGTAATGGATGGAGTTGCTTCTACTTCATAAACTCTGGAGAGATCATGGGCTAAGATGTTGTCAGACTCTTGGTATAGCGTGTCTCCAGGTTGAATTTCTGCAGTTAGCAAGCCCATAGTAGAAGACGTTGAGATGAGAAGTGGGCGTGCTGCAGGAGGTGTAGGGTGGTGTGGTCCGTATTGATGGTGGACCGAGCACTTTTCAGGTGTGGAGTGAAGTGCTGAAGCTTCAGGATGAGGAAGAGTAGCTCCTTGCCAATTGTTCCGTAGATCCTTGTAGCAGTAGTCGCTGACAGGTGTATTCTTCTCGCCTCGTTGCTGCATCACGACACCACCCACGTCGGTACCATTGGCGTCGACATGGAGGATGAAGGGCTTATCTGACGAGGTGAGAGTGGAATTAGAAGAGGGCATAGGAGCACGAGTATTATCCTGAAAGCATTTGGGAAGATCATTAAGGATTTTGGAATTAGAAGGCGCCGACTCCTTGTCAGTGCTTTCGGGAGAAGAAGCCGGGATGGTCTCACTGTGGATGTAGGGTTCTGTGAATGTGGAATAGTTAATCAAGACAGTGGGAGGAGTACCATTATATTGCTTCAGGAGGTTGACGTGGCACAGCTGGGTCTTCCGCCGCCTATCTGGAGTCTCTATCACATAATTATTATTATTCCTGCACTCTTTGACGCAGTAGGGTCCTGAAAATCTGTTTTGTAAAGGTGAACCTGGGATAGGGAAATAAGCAAGGACGAAGTCTCCCGGCTTGAATTTTCTTACTTTGCTGGTCTGGTCGTAATGAGTCTTCATTCTCACCTGGGCTTTCAATAGATTATCATGGGCAAAGCGGTGGACTCTCTCTAGAATGTGCTGAAGGTTTTGAAGAAACTGGGGCACATTCTGATGCTCACTGAAGGTGGCATCTCTGAGAGAGTCTTTGAAAGCCTTAAGGGGAGTACGGCACTTACGGCCGTAGAGCATCTCATAAGGAGATACTCCTAGGGACTCATTGGGGAGACTTCTGAAAATACACATTATTAGGTCAATCTGCTTATCCCAATCCTTTGAGGTTTCACTACAAAACTTTTTCAAGAGTGCTTTGATGGTCTGATGACTACGTTCAAGAGAACCCTGTGAAGCAGGATGATAGGGGCTGGACAATACCTGTATTATGTTGAACTCCTCCAGTGTTCTTTTGAAGAGATCACTGGTGAAGTTGGTGCCACAGTCACTTTGAATCTCCCTGGGAAATCCGTATTGAGAGAAGATCTTCAATAGATGTTTGATAACCGTAGCAGCCGTGATGTTCTTCACTGGAACTGCTATGGGAAATCTGGTGGTAGGACACAGGATGGTTAGGATGTAGGCGTTACCTGAACTGGTCCGAGG